TCAGTAACAGCCAGTTCCTGCATAGCATTTTAAAGCTGCATTAATTTCTTTACTTCTTTGGCAAGTGTGGGGCAGCAAATCCCTACAAAACACACACACTACTGCCTACTGATGGTAAATAGGCTAATGTGTTACCAATAATTTGCTTTTTACACATCCAGCAGACACACAACGACATTAACATTCAATTGTAGTCAAGCCTTTGATGTTTTTCGTAAGCACATGCACAATTTGAGCTGAGATCAAGTGAAGATAATTACTGATGAACAATCTTGATTTCTGTAGTGTGTAGTTTGCTTGGCTGCTGGTGATTGTTCCTAACTGAGGGAAGTGAGCTGGACGTGATAAAGTGGCAGCCATGATAAGAGCGGTTTGAATTTTCTAAATGCTAAGGGAAGGTGCTTCAATGCCAAACTTTTCTGTGGAGTCAACTGTTTTCTAAGACTATATAATGTACATTATGGATGACATTTTTGCTTTTAATTGTTTGTATTGTGGGCGGCATGGTGGTGTGGTGGTGAGCACTGTCGCCTCACAGCAAGAGGGTTCCTGGTTCATTCCCAGGAGGGAGCCCTTCTGTGCGGAGCTTGCATGTTCTCCCTGTGTCAGCATGGGTTTTCTCCGGGTACTCCAGCTTCCTCCCACAGTCCAAAGACATGCAGGTTAGGTTAATTGGTGACTCTAAATTGTCCGTAGGTGTGAGTGGTTGTCTGTCTCTATGTGTCAGCCCTGTGATAGTCTGACGACCTGTCCAGGGCGTACCCCGCCTCTCACTCAATGTCAGCTGGGATAGGCTCCAGCCCCCACCGAGACCCTCATGAGGATAAGCAGTTACGAAAATGGATGGATGGATGGATGGATGTTTGTATTGTAGCCTACTGACAATATTTTCCTGTTCAGGGACCACAGATGCAGATTAGCTAACTCAGTTGTGTTGTGCATGGCCCCTGTTAGATAAACTAATCAACAATTCTAACTAAATCCCTGTCAATAACACCTACCATCGCATAATCATATAGCCTAATGTTAGTGCTAAGTCTAATTCTCTTAGCACTGCTGTTGCCTTTTCCCAAGTCTTTATGAATTCTTCTTCACATCTTTCCTTGACCTCATAGCGTTTTCCAAGTGTGTAGGAAAAGATATAAACTGTAATTTTTTGTGACTATGCCACCGCAGCTCTTGTCTCTGTGGATGATGTCTTCTCTTGCTCGTCTGGGTTTGATGTGTCTTGCTGGGGCAAGTAGTTTCTAATTTGCGATGGTGATCTCCATGTCTGTCTCCAGGTCTGCTAGTGGTTACTGAACCGTTGGTGGTTACAAGAAAGTGGGTGAAAAAAGGAGCTCAGAACCTAAGCTTTGTCTTTCAGTGTCTGAGTGCTGCCATGATGGATTCCACCTCCGTGCATCAGGTCTCACAACAATCACTGCGCCTCTCCCAGCGTCCCAGAGGTTCTGGCCACTTGATGAATGTAAGTCCATACCCTCCTTTTAGCTCTGGCCTGCGCTCATTCCATGAGAAAGTATCTGGTTCTTTAGCCACTAGACGTTTGACTTTGCAGCTTCACCAGCTAATCTCTGATTTTGTCTGTCTGCCATTTGGTGCTAGGTGAGTAGCATAAAGTGAGCTTATCTGAGCTTTATTGCTGGAAAGCGCTGTCAGGAGTGGATTTTGTCAGTCATACAACCAAAACTGAACTACAAAAGTCTAAATGAAAGGCTAAGAGGCCAGGGGACTGCAAAATTAGGTGATAGCTCTCTGTGGTTAGCCCTTTCACTTTACATCTGGTCATTTGATCCAGCGTTAATATTGATTAGAGGAGCTTTAAAGACGGAGTTTTAAATATACACACACCCCTCCTTAGTTTTTTTCCTCTTTCCTGTTCTGTTTCTCTGTCCCCGTTTCTCTCTCTCTGATGTCTCTGAAACTCTTCATGTGCTGTGGGTCTCATTTGATCTACAGCGTCAGACATCTGGAGCACTGCTCCACTAAAACACCTGTTTTCAATTCAGGCAACCGACAGAAACATTTGATTGTTTCTCACAACTAGACCTTTTTTCCCCCTGCTCGCTCTCTCTCTCATTGACTCACAGCCTATTTGTTATGTTTAAGTTAAAGAACAGCTCTCCTATAGGTAATAGATGGAAGAATAATTTAAACTTGATTAAGACCAATTGAGAGGAAAATACAGAGTATGATTTTCCAGGTATTATGTCTGCAATTTTGGCACCTACAGTTGTTGAATAGGGTTGCTTTCAAATAGGTTCAGTATGTTTGAGATTAAATGGAATGAGTAACGTCTGAATGTTAAACTTTTACCCTTTAACTTAATGGAAAATAATATAAGTGCACTTTAAAATCAATGTCAAGATATTGAAATTGAAGCCACGTGAGATTTTAAATGATGTGGCCCGACAGGAATGCTTTATATTATGTTAAATTAAATACATACTCTGTAATCATCCGACGACATTGTGAAATATCTTTCATCTCTGATTGTGGATTAAAAAGCTTTGAGTGAAATTTATTTTCTGGCAAAATAAATGTACATTTTATTTGGTGTTGAACAAGTATGCATGCATTGACATGTGCAGGGAGCCAAACCAAAAAAAAAAAAAAAATCACATAACATAATGAAGTGAGAATAAAGCTGAAGAATTTCAGTGGCGGCTTCGCTGCCAACTCCCTGAAACACTTAATTATGCCTAATTGTTTAGAGGACAGAACACACACAGAGGCAATTAGGAACGATATGCATGAGCAACTCTACACAGGGAAACAGCATTTAGGCAAAAGAATAACAAAGTATGATGTTTGCACATTCCATAATGCTGTGTTAAACTGTACGTGTGCAAATAAACGTATGATCGAGGCTATCACTGCATGTTTTTAAAAATATCAACACTGCCTACTCAGCGCTTTACCATAAGCACGACACATTCTTATATCTTTCTCATGTCTGCATCCTATAGTGTAAATATAAAAGTCCTGTTTATAAAAGGCAAATAAATATCATCAAAAACATCAAATACCAACTCCTGCTTTTACTACGTAGCATTTGTGTATACTCATTCCTCAGAGCACTGAAGGGATAGTTTGACATTTTGGGAAATGCATGCATTCTATTTGTTTGATAAGAAGACTGATACCACTCATATGTTGGAGATTATCAATATTCTCATTTAAAGGAATATTTCACCCCCCCAAATGACTATTTGGATATCAGTTACTCACCCCATGTTATGTTGAATTTATGAAGAAAGGTTTGTGTTTCCCGTATGCCTCTACAGTAAACGAAGAATCCAAAAACTGACGAAATCTTGATGAACTGAAAGCATAGGGGACCACTTTTTAAAACAGCAAAACTATATGAAAACATTTATTTACAAACTCTCACACAACTCATGCAGAATAATCCAAGTCTCATTCATCCAGTCGTATGCTCAGTACTTCTCAGACAGACCGCCCTGTCTGAAGGGGAGCTGAACAGAAAGTAAAACTTAAGCCATTTTCTCCTATGAACCGCAGGCAATGTCTGGAGAATAAAGTCTGGACATTGTCTTTCACACATGTAGCATACAACAGCAGACTGGCTGTGTCAGAAGTGTTCTCACCTATTCTTTTCTGATTTCGGCCTGATCCCTGATGATCCCTCTTCTTTACACTTGTTTGTTTTCTTCTGATTTTGCCTCAACTTCATGATAGAAACATCATCAATATACCCACTTGCTCGCAGTGAATTTTCAAGACAATTACTTGCTCTATTTAAACACGGGCTCAGTTGGAAATTACACAGACTTTGTACTAGGGAGCTGGCAGGGTGAAGTCTGGTTGAGGTCCAATCCGACATTTGTGTTTTCACATACAGGTCCTCTGAGTAATGTCTAGCTAACTTCAGGTTTGCAGTACATGTGTGTAAGAGGCTTTATCTATGCTCTCTTCAAAGCCAGACTCCATTTTCAAAAACAGTAATTTTACCTTGCTGAACACAGGAGCTGCTGATCTACCACTGCCTCGATCAGTTAGTTAGTTTGTGTTATTGTCTGACTTTAGTTTTCTTCAGATTCATTTAAGTCACACGATAACACAAACTAACTGATCGAGGCAGTGGCAGACCAGCAGCTCCTGTGTTCAGCGAGGTAAAATTGCTGTTTTTATCAATGCAGTCTGGCTTTAAAGAGAGCATATAAGTTTTACTTTCAGTTCAGTTCCCCATCAGAGCATACGACTGGATAAATGAGACTTGGATTATGCTGCATGATTTGTGTGAGAGTTTGTAAACGGATGTTTTGATATAGCTTTGCTGTTGTGAAACATGCCCCCTGTGACTTCAATTCATCAGGGCTTTTTTTCTGTTTTTGGAATCTTCTTTCACCAGAGGCATGCAAGAAAAACAAAGTTTTCCTCAAGAATTTAACATGACCTGGGGTAAGTAATTTATATATAGATGGTCATTCAGAGGTTAAATAGTCTTTAAACTCTTCCAGAAAGCAAATAAGCATATCTCCCAAAATGTTAAACTACTGTCCTAAATGCCTAGCGATACGATACAAAAAGGTTTGTTACATACAGTACGTGAGTTAAATATGTGCAGGAATGTAAGGATATACATATTTAACGACTCATACAAAAGTAGGCATGCCGATGTGTGTGTACACACACATACATACATACATACATATAAAAGCACCACTGCACATGCATGTACACACACTCATACACACTGTACAGACACACACACACACACACAAACACATCCCATGAAGAATTGGTCACTGCTCAACCAGCCGAAGTACTTCAAGCAAAAGCAGTACTTACAGTATGTTAATCATACCCAACAGAGATTTCACAATAAAAGTCTAAACACGTAAGGAAATGTACATTTAAAAACAATAATATGACAAAATATGTGTAATAGATGAATAACATTGTTTTTCATCTACTTGTATTCTCTCTTAATTTGGTAAATTGTTGAATCTGCTCTGCAATTCAATATTGTGCAAAACTGTCTTTTTTTTTTTTTTTTTTTTACAAAATGTATTAATGACAAAGACTTAATCTGTTCTTGGATCACACGGCAACCCAGAGGATTGAAATGTTAGTGCCGCCCTCGTGTTTTATCTGGTTAACTCGTCCGCGGATACAGTCCAGAGTGACGTAGACTGCTGTGCCGTTCTGGACAGGAAATGAGGCCCTCAGCCCGATGCTTGCCCACTCGCTCCCTTCAGGCATATATCCAGACACCTGCTGAGCCACAGGACCAGCCTGCCCGCCCTGACCCCCCACCTGCTGCAGAGTGAGTTTTACAATATTGCAGGAGTGTATCAGCTTCAAATTCAGGGCTACGTTTGCCGTCCCTTTCTCATGGAATATAAAGTTCTTCCGGCTGTTCGGCTCCCCTGAGCGGGCCAAATGAACCTGCGGCGTGCCCGGGCTTATCTGCTGGAATGACAGCGGCTTATTCCTGACTGCTCCAAAGGGCAGACCAGTCCTGGACACGGTGGCGGTCAGGGCAGACGACACTGCTGAGGGAATCCAGATAAGGCTCAGCATACTGATCCCAGTGCTGTCCCCAAAGTAACGGATGTTGCACTGGGATGGAGTTGTGATCTCAAAGCTTAGCGTGTCCCCAGTTTCTATGCTCACGGCGCCAGAGAGGGTGATGGAGGTGTCCCTATAGTTGACGCCTGTCTTGAAGGCTTGCATCGCTTCTTGGCCAGTCCCGTTGTGGTTAGTGTAGGCGATCAGGGAGAAACCCTCTCGAATGCAGGTGTGGCCCATAGAGTAAAGCGCCTGTTGGAGGACAAACTTCACAACACCGCTTTCTGTGAAGCGCACACCACGGTTGTCATGGGTTAGAATGATCATATAGGGATCGGACACTGAGGTCATGCGGAAAGTTGGGCGGTAGCTGGTCTGGTAGTGTGCCAACAGGGACATCTGAGCCGTCATTGCTACGGCACCGGTGTCATGTGACAACCAGAGTAGGCTGAAAGAGGGAGTTGCGATGTCATAGAGGTGGATATCCTTGCTCTGGTTGCAGTGTTGATTCGGACTCTTCAGCAGCAGAGTAAAGGTGTGGTTCGGCTCCACCTCCACACCACTGCTGACACTGACACCCTGGAAGTATTTCCCATCTGGCTGTTCGATGCGAACCCCACTTAGGTCCTGACCCTCCTCCTCCTGGCTCCCGTTGAGCCTCATCCCGACCTGAAGGAAGTTCCTGCAGCTGTGCTTTATTGCAAAGTTATGATCCAACCACACCAGGCCATGCTGCAGGAATGTCACCTGCCCCGCATCATTGGACAACAGATCAATTCTCTCTTTGCCTCGGATGTTCAGCTGAAGCCCAGGGAAGATGTGGGTGCCAGAGGTCTTGGCAGAGGGAACTGCCACATTTCCCCTCCAAGACTGGGAGAGTTGGCTCTCTGAAGGCTGACCACAGACAGCGTCACTGATAGCTGTGCAGGGTTCAGAAACAGGCTCTCCATCACAATCAGAACAGGCCTGGCACTCCTGCAGCTCCTGGTTGAAGAAGTAGTCGTGACCACACAAGCCCATCACCGCTTCTCTCTCAGAAACTCCCAGACACCTGAACCCTCCTGTGCAGAGAAAGACCAAAGAGAACGGAGAAACCCAAGGAGTGAAAAGGCAGAAAATGGTTCTAAAATGAAAAAACTACTGGGGAAATTCTTTCCCCACATTGCCCACAATCAAAGGGTAAATTGCATTCATTATCAAACTAGAATTCTGCCTTGCGGTCATATGCCTCCGCAAACCAGTCAAGTTGCAGTTACACTTTACATCCATGTCTGTCCAGACTCATGTGTAACCATGACAGTTGACAATGCTTCAGATGTGGATTGTGCTGGAAAAAAGCTACACATTCTGAAACATGGATGCTACACACACATCTTCCCGGTAGCAGAGAAGATCTATACAATCACGTTATCAAGACGGAGACCCAAAATTAATGTCACCAATTCAGTATCTATCTCCCCTTCTGTTCTGAGCTACAGCTTTGAATAATGGCCAGAGTGTGTTTGCAGAATATTATGATGTCACAGTAAAGTTGACCTTTGACCTTTTGGATATAAGATGTCATCACTTCCTTATTTTTTTCTAATAGATGCTTGTGTGACGTTTTGTCATCATTGAAGTATAAATCTTGAGTTAGGGACCACTGCAAACCTGAAGTTGACCACCAAATTCTAATCAGTTCTAAACGTCTGAGCCAAATGTGAAGATATTCCCTTACAGCGTTCTTGAGACATCGCAATCATAAGAATGAGATATATGCATGACGAACAGACAAACTGAAAGCATAATGCCTCCAGCCAAGGCTACTGCCAACGCAGAGGCATTAAAAAACACATGCATTTAACTCACCTGGAGTATTCAGGCACTTCACTCGCTCTCCACAAATGTTTGGTACTTCAAGGCATTCATCTCTGTCCTACAATTTATACAAAATAATGTTATCATAAGTACATTTTAATGTCGATAACAGAGTTCAATCAATGTAATTTTGAAGGAAACTTCAGGTATCTGTTATTTTGTCTCATGAATTAACTTTAAAATTTGGCACTGTACATTTCTGCAAACCAAAGTTATGTTACATTTGCACATTATCATGGGCATACGCTTAAAAGTCACATTTCTACAACGCTGTTGTTAACATGTGGTTAAGTTAAGGCACAAAAACCACTTGGTTATGGTTCAGAAAATATCTTTTTTTGGCTTAACATGACCCATTTTGGGGTGCACAACCCCCCAATGGAAAAGCAGTGATGTCTCAATAAAAAAACACTCTTTTCATGTGTAAAATGCCGCTGGGATACAAGCAATGGGCAGCTATAACACATCCCATGTTTGGTGCCTAAAGCTGCTGGCAACACGGCAACATTTTTCTCGTTTGCTGGTCGCAAACAGTGGTCTGCAGCTTCGCAGACATTTCGCCTTGGAGTCATATGATCCGCCATCCTCTCCATCTCCCAGTGACAAAATCAGCTTATATATTATGTCTTTCCAGAAACGTTGATATGATACATATGAAATGTGCAAGCGTTTTCGTGGTTTGCATCAATGTACAATGCCAAAATTTTCTTCGGGCGACTGGGCTGAAATAGATCCATGTTTTTTCCTTTGTTATGTATTCTGATAACTGATGAGTGTGAACACTTTCCATCCAAATCATCTATTATTATGATTGTGCATTGCTGCCTGTGCCTCACTGACACCACCATCTGACACAACCACTATCAGCTGAAACCTATTCACACTCTTGTGTGCAGTGGATTGGTTTTCACACATACCGCACCAACATACTGCAGATTATGGAGCTCACCTCCATCATCAGAACAGTTTTAAATATAGTATAGAATTTTAAAGGACAATACCTGGCACATCCTGTCTGCAGTAGGAGAACACTGTGAGATCAGAAAGAAGCCCGGTGGACACATGGTGCACTTCACACACTGAGGTGGGTCCCTCTGAAAATCACAGAACTCCTCCTGCCCACAGGGTGAGGGGCATCCCAACAGAGGTTGAGGAAAATTAGCCTCTCCAACTACATCCATCACCTTTGTGTCCATGTCCATTTTGTGCACGGCGTAGGACTTCTGCAGGTGACTGCGGGCCTGATTCTGCAGCCCCGCCAGGTGGCTCTCGAAGTAGCTCTGCAGCTCACCCTGCAGGCCCTGGAAGGACACCTGCTTGACGGTGTCCGAGAGGAGGCCGTACTGTGCCTTCACCACATCCATCTGCTCGTACATGCGCCGCTGCTGGTCTAGGATCTCCCTCTGTTGGGACAGCAGCGCCTCCTGTTGGTCTGCCAGCTTCTGCTGCAAGTCACGAATGACCACCTGCTGGGCTCGCAGGGCCTCCACCAGCTTCTCCTGCCCCTTGGCCAGCTGAAGGTGCAAGATGAGGGCGTCTTCTGAGGGAACCTCATTCTCCCCTGAGGAGAAAATGATGCAGAATGAAAAACTGGATCAGACAAGTTCTTACTGTTGAACACAGCAGTGAAGGAAGTGATTAAGTGAGATTAACACTGATTCTGATTTCTGCAAATAATGCTGGAACAAAGTGTGAACACTCGGTGACCCCGTTTTATTGGCCTAGCTGGCAAGTGCCATGAAGGTTTCCTGTATGGACCAACATCAAAGCACTCCACATTTTCTGCACAGCTGACTCAGAAACATTTTTCCAGCTCAGTTGCTCTAGTTGCTCTGCAGATATCATTTTGGGGCTGAAGGTCAACAAAGTCCTTTTGCTTTTAGACCATAATCCCAGATCACTGCCGGGAAAAGGGGGTTAAAGTCAATAAAGAGTTATGTGCATTTGGCTAAATTTCAGGCATACTGCTTTTGGTGCAAGATAATAATACATCAACTTCTCTGGTAGCTTGTCACTCAGATGTCTCACAGTGGTTTGACTGGTGCGCAACTGCGCACAAGGTACATTTTAAAGAAGTTAATCAGCCTCTAATCATCTAAAAGCAACAGTTTTGATGACAGTAATGATGATAGCAGACCTGGCTTGATGTCACATGTGAGCTGGACACCCAAAGGCGCGCTGCCAAGCTCCGACGACGGATATCCAAGCTCCGGAAAATCTCCCAGAAACTGCGCGGCTCTGTCGGACAGATGGACAGGAGGGAGCTGGCTGGCGCTCTCCTCTGAACTACATCCCTCTCCAACACAAGACTTCGCAAGACGAGCTTTTGGCCGTATCCTCAGTGGCAGTCTGCACTCGATCCCTCGACACTCCCGGGTGTCATTAGCGGGCTGAAATTGTCTTACAAGAGCGGCGCAGTCCGCATCTGTGCATCCTGCAGGTAAAACTTCAGACGCTCTTTTCCGTGCGCCGCCGCCGCTGCTGCTGTCACTGTGCCGCCCGCGGTGTGGCTGCACAGCCGGATAGGCTTCCGATGCTGCTCTTGGAAAGCTCGGGTACGCGTAGTGTTGGCTGGCGACTATCTGCGCCGCTCTCCCCTGCGCTGTCGGGTTAAAGTGCCGCGGCGGTCTGGAGGATCTGCCCCCCGGACAGTGCGCACCGGTGCACGGTCTCGGATCGCCGGTTTCCGTGCCGTAGCAGTGCGTCCCCCGGCAAATCTCTGCGACAGCTTGCAGTGATACCCAAGACAGCAGCAGCAACAGCGCTGGTGTTACCAAAAGCATTTTTGCATCAGCTCTGCCTCTCTCTCTCTCTCCGTGCCAAGGAAGAATAATGCGCGTTATTCCTTTGATTCCCAATCTGGAAAAATCTCCAAAACTGTGTGGTTCAGTTAGAAAAATAAAGTCCAGAGCGGATCTTCTCCTCTATATCACAACAAACTTTATCACACTTGACACAGAGACTCTTGATCCTGACAGAAAATGCCTTCAGCTCCAGGGTTCGGTGAGACTGTCTCTCCTGACTGTCAGTACGGAATAAAAACATTAGACACACGCATTACCGCTGGCTCTGTCCACGCCTGACCCACTCTAAGAGCTCCTGCACTACAATGTCAGTATGTGGCATTCCTAAGACTTAATTAGCATCAGGTTTCCCCGGCCACAAATTAACCCTTCAACTTCCCTGCTCACAGGAACACAGGAATTCCCCACTGGGGTGAAAGAAGGCACAATCAAACATTTTCTGAATACAAATATTGGCTCCAATTTTCATGTTAAAAAAGAGAGATTTTATATTTTATATTGCTGAAAAATGTTCTCCAATCCTGTCATCTTTTCCCCTGATGACTGCCACTTTTCATTTCACTCTCTGTTGACTTCCCTCTGACCTTATGGCCATCCAGCTTGTAGAAAGTGGCAGTGTTTTTTCTTCAGCACATCCTGAATGTTGAGACAGCTGCTGGTCCTCAACCCAGTGTCCCTCAGGTTACTGGCCTTGTCAACACCGGGCGCCCCCTCTTTATAGACGGAGCCAGCAGAGGTCAAACTTTTGCTGAGGGGACCTATGGCAGGAGTCAAGAATGTGAAACCTACAGCTGGTTTTTGGACCCTCTCATTTTAGTGCTTCAGCACAACATGTCCAGCGGAAGGTTATCTGAGGCTGATGTATGGTGGGTTGTGGTTGTGGGTGTTGGTTCAGATGTAAATTTCTGTTTCAATATTTCAAGGTCAGACAGGTATGGAGGACACATGCTGCCAAGAAATTTTAAAAAGGGGGGAAAAATAACATTATGACAATAAAATTTAAAAAAAATCAAAAATTTGATTTATTTCAAAACTTTGACTTAAAAACTCTTAATTTTTTTCTTCAAATTCTTGGTATCTCTTAATTTAACTTACTTAGCACAATTTGAAATGTTGACTTATTTTCTCATACTTTTGACTACCTCCCAAAATTCTGATTTACTCTGTCATAATTTTGATTTGTAATCTCATAATTTAAACAAATTATAACACTTTTGCCTTGGTTATTTTTATCATTTAGAATTTTAAATAAAATTTTGACATATCAATCTAGTATCTCCCAATTTTGACTTTGTATCTCATAATGTTAACGTAATAGCTCATCATTCTGAATAGACGTCACATAATTTAAATGTATTTTATAAATTTTTAATTGTTATCTTTACTTAGTCTCTCATAATTTGCACTCATTCTTTTAAACTTTGATTTATTATCTAAAATTTGGACATACTCTGACATTCTTCTGACCTAGCCTATTACCTCATAATTTTTACTTTGCATCTCTTAAGGTGAACTTAATATCTCCTATTTGTGACCTATAATCCAGCACGTTTTCCCTTAGATTTTCATAATTTAGCTTCTCATAATTTTATAATGTTCAATAAAAATAAATTACCTTGTATCTCACAATTCTGACTTTATATCTCATAATTTTATAATGTTCAATAAAAATAAATTACCTTGTATCTCACAATTCTGACTTTATATCTCATAATTTTGACTTAATCTGTCATACGGTTGATTATCTACTAAAATTGACTTAATCCCTCAAAACTTTGACCTTCATTTAAATTTGGACATATTCTCACATATTTTTGACTTATCACTCCCCTAATGTGAACTTAATATCTCATATTTATGACTTATCGTAATAATTTTGTCTTTTTTTTTTTTTTTTTTTTTTTTACCATTTTAAAGGATTTCAAACTTTTAACGTTGAATCTTATAATATCAATGTATAGCATTTTCATAGTAGGTACGATTGATTCGTACTTTGCACAATTACAATTGCCCCTACTCCCCCACCACTCCGCTTTCATATTGGTAGTATTGTTTTGTATCAGAATATTTGATTATGTTGTTGCTACATAGAAGAGAGCGCCAGTCACAAGATGCCAAGCCCCTACAATGGAGCCGACCTTTGCATTATGCCTCCTATTGTTTATATTTTGGAGACAACATCAAGAACGACACTCTCGCCTGCCTTTATCACCCATGGCCATTCAGTTCAAAGGATGAGATTGGCGAGTGCGGCGCACATATGTAGATTTCAGAGGAGACGGGTACGTTGAGAAATGCCTTTGCAATTCTGCTCACCAACTGTTACTGATTAAATAGTAATCTACTTGCATGTTTTGGTACAGTTGGTGTCCACACCTGAGTCTAAACGTACCCAGATACACTTAAGACCACCTGTCCAACAGAAGTTGGGCACGGATTGGCATACCAAGGTATGGTACACACTGTTCACACTAATCAAATGAACTGGACTTTGTGGTCAAGTATACTTGAAGCCCAGGTTCCTGATGCTGACTTGATTTCTTATATTTATGTCGTTTCTTATAATGTTGCCTTAATATTTCATAATTTTTTTTGAGTTATTATCACATAATGTTAACTTAATATACATTTTTTCACTTAGCATGAGTATTTTTGGCAGCAATGGGCTTCCTTAGAAGGCAAGTTTGACTCATGTTAATAAAAACAAACCTCAGATTTCTTTGTTTGTTGGATTCCGTTGGCAGATAAATCTTGCCAAGCAGAGCGGGAGGGGCTGATTGGAAACTTAAATTAGTTGCATACATACAAAAACATCCAGCTGACTGCTGGTTATATTTCTCTGGTGTAAACATGCAGAGTGGATCAGCCCTTCACAGAGAAAATAAGCGGTGCAGGTGGTTAGCATGAACTGCTCCACACCACCCACTGAGCTGGAATGTATAGTACAGCAGAGTACAAACAGAGGGCACTACAACACTCCTAATGCATCACTGTTCACATCATCATCGTGGCAGTTTGTCCTCTGCAGTATTAAAGTTGACAAATGCTTTAGTGTTTCCAAAGGTGTCCACTGGTTTTCTCATTATCACCCCATTTTCTTTTAGTGCAGAAAAACCCAAGAAAGGTTCTCAGAGGTGTGTCTGAGCCTTCAGATTTAATATGATGGAGACTAATGGCTTAAAAGTATGCCCCCTCACATACCTCACACCTTACCATGTGGGGTTCTGCAATAATTCAAATCCTATATAAGTAGGGCTTTGTTTGGCATCTCCTACTTTATTGGAAATGCAAAAAATTTTCAGTAAAAAATAACAATCCTTTACAGTTTCTTGACTCCATGCCATGATGTATGAGCTGCAGCATACATGAGCAAAAACATTATCAGTATCCACTCTGATGGACCACCCTCAGTGAGTGAAGAGTGACTGCAAAGACACAACAAAGCAGGCAAATAACCCCTCTCTTTGCTGCCGACCTCCACCACTGTTAATCAGTGTATATCTCCTTGAGAAATGTTCTCTGAGGGAACTGCCGCACTCGTGTTTAGGAGATGCTTGGAGCTAATGGGAGGGCTGCCTATGGTGTCCATCTGTTTGTCAGCCCCTGAGAGAGGAGAGAGGAAATGAGGGTGGTTGGGACACATGCCTGTACCCCGAGTGTTTGTTTAATACATCACGAGTCATGAAAGGCTCTTGGACGCGTTCAAGGTTATTTGGTTTCCCCCGTGGCGCTCGGCTTCAATGATGACAGGATTTCGCCACAGAAAGGGTGGTCCGCCTTTCCCAGTGGAGTCGAGGCTGGTCTTCGGGGGGAAAATAGGACACAGAAGTGCTAATAATAGCAAAATAATGCAAACGGAAAGTCATATTTTCCTCTATAAACACATTAAGGAGTTGAAAACGAGGGTAGAAATGGGGGCACATTGTTCTTCTAAGCATGATTTTGCTTAAAGGAGAAGTGTGTAAGATTTAGGGGGATTTGGTGGCATCTACAAGTAAGAGATGCAGATTGCAACCAGCTGAAACTTCTCCCAGTTAGAATTCCTTCAGTATTTATCGTTCAGTATCGTTTTTACCGTGAGACGAATTATCCATTGAGTTCTCTTCCTCTCCAAAACAGGCAAGGCTACTGAAACCAGTAGAAATACGGAATAAAGCAGCTTCACGTTACAAATCAGTGGTTCTCGTATCTAATTTGGAACATCAGACTGCTCACCTTCATTCTGATCCAGACATTCAGGAGGTTTTTACTGTGAGTCGAATTATCCGCAGAGGTCTCCTCCTCTCCAAAACAAATAGACCAATGATTTAAGCCAGTAGAAACACTCATTAAGGAGTTTGAAGTTGCAAATCAGTGTTTTTCTGACACTGTTTGGCATGTAGGAAGTGGACTGCTATCCTTGCACCTGCTAATCTAAGCTCACCTTTTTACTCTATTACTTATGATCCAGATATTAAGAAGGTTTTTACTGCGAGCTAAATTATCCGCAGGGGTCACTTTCTCTCCAAATCAAACAGACCCGGTGATTTAAACCCATAAAAAACTGAAAAAGCAGTTTTTACCTTACCTGTGAATGACCCTATCTAGAGTGTTTGGTTTGTCTGTTCTGGGTTGCTGTGGAAACATAGCTTTGCAACATGGCGATCTCCACAGACGAGGACCCTCTCCTTCTAGATATAAACAACTCATTCTAAGGTAATGAAAACACAGTGATCCTTATTTACAGGTGATTATACACTAAAGAAAAACAACTTTGATTCAATTTCTGCCAACATATCCTTCTAAATCCACACTAAACCTTTGATGATCCTCATTCCTTGCTATGTTTGACCTTTTCCAAATATTTTTGACGTCTGTGTAACTTGAGGAGGGATTAAAAAGAGATGTGAAATCTTGTTTTTTGGCCTCCCAGGTTGACTCAAGGAGAAATGCAAATAAATAGAGATATCTGTGTCTGCCTGGTCAGATAAGAGCCAGAGGCTATTCATAGCTTGACAGCTCAGCTCTCCTTGGTTCCCCCCCCTGAAGATAGCTGACCTTGTTGCACCACACCAGTGTCTTAAGATATTTCTTTCTGATTTTAAGCAGAGAAAAATAATGCTTGACTGTAAGTGAAAGCAATTTCTGTATGCCTGAGTCGCCTTGAAAAGGTTTGTTTGTCTTTATTTTAAAGTCATACAGCAAATAATTCTCAATGTATGGATTGTGTGGAGGAAACACTGTATTTTTCAAAAGAACTTAGATCACTGGAACTCAGCTGGACTGTGTCGTGCCACCACTCCTGCCTAAAGACCTGCTGTAAATCAGTCTCAGCGAGGTGAATTATTAACCAAGACCGTCACATTCCTTGTGCTGAATCAGCCGTTCTTGATCCCACCAAGACCTCGCTTT